CACTTTTTTGTAATTCTCCCCAATTTTTACTGAGATTTGTGCTATTGCCAGATTCCTAACATATTAATGATACATTCTGATTGATTTTCATGCTCCTGAACTTATTCCAAAATTAAATAGAATGCTCAAAATGATCAATATGCTAGAGTGGCGCATAAATCAAACATGAATATCATTTATGGAGTAAGTCATGGTGCAAGAAAAGTACATAGTTGATCCAAGACTCAAATGAGTAAAACCAGCTTGTCTTATAGAAAACAACATGAGTAGTTCACATTCTAACTCAAATTTGGTACTATAGAGTAGAAAAAATTCATGCACCTAGCCAAATGACTTCAAACTAATACTAAAAAAAATAATTATCACATATGAAGGACCATATTAAAAGATTAAGAAGTCTACCATCTAGGGACAGTCCAATTGATTTCTAGTGCTCTAGTAGCAAATTTCCTATTAGAGAAAAAGAACATCTATCTGTTCTAGGATTAGTAAATTTTCTTCTTTTCATTTGATGCCTCTTATAGAATCTAAAAGGCATATTTAGAGATTCATCTCAATTAGCAAAAATAAAATAAGTAGAAAATAAAACACACAAAGTCTAGCAAAGCCCTGTCAACAAGTCAGTTATAATTCAGATTAGAAAAAGAAAGAAAGGTTTTGTTCTGAGCTTTGACACGCACTCGACAACATTTCTTTCTACACCACCTAGTATATAATACACCTGAATAATAGAACTCCACATTATAGGCAAGTAAAAGAAAATTATAAAAAAAGTATTTCCTATTTTGCTATCAAATTGTTCACCTACAATTTGAATGAATTAAATTGAATCTACACATACCTTCATGTTATGGTGAAAACTTAGGGAAACCATGCACTAGAAAACAACACATAAATTAACTAGAGAAAAATCTCAATCCTATATGTAAGGTAATAATCAAGACAAATATAAACACTCAAGTGAATAATAAAATTAACAACTGCAAAATCTAAACACAATCTAAAGGAATTCAATGGCAATCCATATCAACAACTATAGGTATATCAATGAAATTAATCAAAGGTCCACAATTCTATATATATCACCAATGACCTATTTATGTAGCAATTTTTGCATATGTTGGAAAAAGTATTGATGCTTAGAAATCACAATAAAAAATTATCAAGAGTTGAAAAATAAATATGGCCTCAATGAACAACAATTGAAATATAAGAAGTAGATAGAAAGAGGAAACACAATGTTGAAACACAATCTTTTTAAAGCAAGGAGGCTTTTGAGTGCATCTTGGAAATGCATTCCATCAAACATGAAATCCTTGGCATAAACAATTAGTCACTGTTCTATTCAAGCAACAATCATGACCTACTTAATTCCATTCAGTGCAGATAGAATCACATAGCACTCATAAAATGTTCCAACATTGCATCAACAATGTGCATATAGATTCTTTCTTTCAATCTACAAATAAAAAAATTCACCATGAAGTTGAAGTCATAGAAAGTCCAATCCAAGAGAGGGAAATAGGAGCTCTTGCACTGGTTATTATTCTACTTCTATCAGAAGCCATGTCCAATTTTGAGACCAAAGAAATTGGAATTTCTGTAAAAATTGTATTTTAAGTTTACCATATTGATCTCTACACACTACAAGAATTAACACTTTTGGCAACAAAAAAATTGGTCGCTAAAAGTCTATTTTTGGTCGGCAAAAGTTATCCGCGACCAATTTTTTTGGTCGCTACTTTGGTCGCCAATTGAGGGTCGGCAAAAGTAATTTGCGACCAAAATTTTGGTTGGTCGGCAAAAGTTGGATTTGCCAACTAAATTTTTGGTCGCTAAATATTTAATTACTGCAACTAATTCATTTTGTCGCTAAAATACTTTGGTCGCGAAAAGTGATATTTTCCCGACCAAATATCTTAGTCGCCAATTGACACATTTCGCGACCAAAAAGTTTGGTCGCCAATTATTACACTCAACGACCAAAATGTTTGGTCGCCAATTGTGACATTCCACCACCAAAAAATTTGGTCGCCATTTGTTACTTTTCGCTACCAAAACTTTTGGTCGGCAAAAATGAGTTTCCACGACCAAGAGCTGTTTTGGTCAGCAATAGATGTATTTTTTGCGACCAAAACTCTTGGTCAGCAATTGTCATTTTTTGCGAAAAAAAATTATTTTGGATGTCGCGACTGATAAATTTGTCGCCAAAGAAGGAAAACAATACACCTGTAATTCCTAATAATTCATTCAATCCATAATAAACCTATAATTTTAAAGCATCATTCAAACTAACTGAATCATTAATATTCGACACAATACAACTATTCTAAGTTTTCATTCACAAGTCACATCCATCTAGCATAACAATTTGAAACATAACTATTTGTTATCTATGCGCAGCTATCAACAAATAAAACTACTAATATTTGTTATCCATACACATCCATCCAAAAATATTTAATCCTCCCAAAAATGCTCATACTGCCAAGTAGTCTTGTACAATTTAGCTTCGTGAACTTGTTAAGAAATATGTTGGGGAGGGTGCTCGTCTGGTTCACGAACTTTTGATCCACTTTTCAATGATGGCCCCATCGATATTGTCTTAGCCACTTCAAATATTTCTGGGAACAAAGAAAAATTATGTCACTATGAAATAGCACTACCGAACAAAGATAATAAAACCTCAACAAACTTCACTACAACATACCTTGAAAAGCCCCAGAGTGCTTTAGTCGTTCAAGAACAATAGCTAAGGCAGGTCCTCAAATATCTTTCAAATTCTTAGTCACCTAGTCATGTAACAAGACAATAAACTCAGGAGTTCTGCTAGATTTTTGACAAAAACCAAAGGAGGCACCAAAAATGTTTGTCTACATACTGCATCAGGACCACAGACTCTTAAAATTTCACCAATGCATACTTTAGCTGCTTTATGAACATCTGCTAATTTATCCTATATATAAATGCAAAACCAAGCAATTAAATAAAGTGATAAAAAAAAATGATGAGTTATTTGCCCTTAAATTATTTTTTTGAAAATTTCAAATTTTGCAGCAGTAAATACTGTCATAGCAGAAGCAGTTGGTTTTAGCAAATTTACAGCATCAGGAAAATTGCTTAATCCACTAAGTTGCCTTGATAGCCAATCAAAAAGATTCTTGCGCCGTTCCGTGCCAAGCTTCGCATCCATCAAAGCAGTAGTGATGTAAGGCACCTAATAAAGAAACAGAATTGGAAAATTTATCAGAAAAGCATGATAGTGGCAGCAACACTGGATTGCAAACCCGTATCTTTGCAAAAATCAATTAAATCCTATAAACATATACATCGTATTGAGACAACTAGTTGGCATAATAAAACGGTACCTGTTGCTGTACCTGCAAATTTCAGTACACGATGATTAATAAGCTAACAGCCATAACAACCCTGCCAGTAAAATAAGCAAAAAAGTTAAATACCTGTGTCATTGTCAAATCCTACTCCAACACAAATACAATTCAATGATTGCTAATTGGAGGTTGAGCAGTTATATTAGACATTAATTACTCCAACAAGCCCAGTAAGTAGTCATCCAACAAGCAGTTATAATGCATAATTAAATTAATTTATAAGGATTTGCTTTTTGAGGTGAAAAGATAAAATAATTACTCCAAGAAGCCCAGTAACATTATCTTCAAGAAGACAGAAGTGGTCATCCTTGGCCTTACATTCCTATACATTTGTTATAGTTAATAACATAGTCTGATTAGTTTAAAACCTTCTCTCAGAGAGCAAAGAACAGAGAGAGAGAGAGAGAGAAAGAGAGAGAGAGAGAGAGAGAGAGAGAGAGAGAGAGAGAGAGGGAGGGCCACTAAAGCAGGGTCTGGGAAGCATAAGATGTAAGCAGCCTTACCCCCACTGGGGACGCTAACAGCAATTCTTATCATGGGGGCAAGCCTCTCTTTGAATTGAACACTAGACATATGGTTTGAACAGTAGACATATGTTTTGTTCATCATGTATAAAAGCACAAAGGGCACTAACATGATTGCCAACAACACGGCCTAACCCTAGCCTTGCCATTAACGAAGTCGACTTTCCCAATCAGTGAACCTACAGTACTACCGGATGCTTCTCTCTCTCTCTTTTGCTCTCTTGTGTGAAATGTGAAGTGCTTATGGGCAATAGCAGCAACATACCTAAGGTTATATATAAGGGTTGGCTTAATGAATAAAAATTAATCACAATTTCACACGTCTCGACTATATATATATATATATATGTGTGTGTGTGTACTGATTGGACTTGTCCAGTGAAAACCAGTTTCATCAAAAATGAAAACTAGTGGCAATTTCGACCAAATTTGAAGTATCATACACCATTGTTGCTGACTAAGGAGGAGGGATGAATAGAGGATCATTTGGTTTGGAAGTGCCATGTAGGGTTGCTTGGCTTTTAGCATTTGGATGCAGTGAAAAATTATGGGCCGGTGGTGCTAAGACAAATTTACAAAGTGTTTGAACTTAATATATCTATTATTATTATAAGAGTGTGAAGAATCTGTCATAATATTTGAACTTAAAACTAGTAAGGCAGAACTGCTCCACTTTCTCAAACTGGTGAACTCGGAAAATCCCAAGAGTATCGCGACCATGAGAACCTGCTTCTTTGCAGAAACAAGAAGAATATCCAGCATATCTAGTAATTCATGCAACATAAATTCAACAAAGCGCAGCCACTAAAGATTTATAACCAAAAAAATAAAACATAAAAGCCACCATCTAAAAAGCAGAAACACTTCTAAAAAGGTGTTGTTTCCATGTTCAACGTTGGACACAGACACTTGTTAGACACACACCCACACATATCGGACACATGACTAAGCATGTCCTATTATTTATTAAAAATGAAGTCATTATCATTTTCATGTATCAAATCTTTTTAAAAGTTGTTAGAGTGCTCGTATCGTGTCATATCTGTGTCTATGCTCCAACATTCTTTAGTAGCCATAAAGGCAACTATCATTCATGGAAGTAGTTATAACCTTATTGGTAGGTGTGAAGGATGGATTCAATCATCTAGATGATAAGCACATAGTGGCTGTTCAGCAGTAGCAATCAAATATTTGTCATCTCCTTCACCAGTTACCTGTACAAAAATAACTAAATCAGACATCCTCTTGTTATGGTGAACTTTATAAAGCGTACCAACAATTTGTTAAGCAAAAAATGCTAAATACACAAACGGATTTCAAAAAACCTGATTAAAGTTTCCTGTGTGTTAGAAAACTAAAGCAAGAGCCTGGTAATCAGAGAAGTACTACAACCACATAATATACCGATATATCTAAATACTTTTTGATATACCCAGAGGAAATATAGCACATGATTGTGGATATTAAATACCTTCGCCCTACAACTGACTGCATCTTCGAGTTTTTCCTCTTCTAAAGCTGTTTTTGATTGTCTGTCGTCCATCTGCAGATGAGCACGCTGCATGCTGCCGCAAAGAAACGGAGAATACAGAAGTTATACAGAGCACTGACCAATTAGTGTCATTATTCTACTAGGCAAGTAACATGGTGTATTGCATTGCACTAACACTAATAAAAATGTCTACTTTCCCGACATTTCTAAAACACTGTTAAACTGTGAAAAAAATACCGGTATGTAATGTTTTCGCCAACTATGCTGCCGTCATCTTAGGTTTCCGGAATCTTTTTATTTAAATCAAGAAACACAAAGAAAATAAACCCAAAAAAAATAGAGGAACAAAAAGCTTCCTTACCCATAAGTATTAACTCGTTGAACCTATGGAAGACAACAGAAGCCAGATCATTTCTAGTGAGCAAAAGAATAAAGCAAGAACATACTAGGAAAAATTTTCACAACCAAATTAATTGAAGTGCTGGCACTATATATGAAACTTAACAATTAATGGAGATAAAAAAGATAATTCCATTATTAATTGAATATCCATGAAATTATCTGAATAGAAATTAATTATTAAATGTTTCATTATTCATACTATCATAAACAGTTACAAAAATACATGACAGATGTTCTCAAAACAAAAACTCAAAGAAAAATATGTAGAAATATAGCCTTAGACTCTCCCATATTTTTTTATGCCAAATCCAAAAAATGGAGTGATCATGTCAAGATGCTCAATCATTAACATTCGACACAATACAAAAATTTTTTGGTCGGCAAAAGTGGTCGGCAATTGTGTAAATTCTTGTAGTGTAGGGTGTAAATGGTTTAATGAAAATAAGAGTCTTTATAAAATTACAAAGTCAGAGATGTGGTGTGTGCACCATAAAAAAGTTAGAAAACATGTGAAAAAAGCTATTATTAAACAAGAATGTTAATGCCGATCACCTAAAATACAGAATAGAAGGGCCATCTAATACAACCAAAAAAGAGAAGAAAAAAGAAGAAGGTAGACATTGAAAATCACAAATTTTAAGTGTTCATTGCATCCACTTGAAACAAAAAAAATCTTTTGAAATCGGATGGTCGAGAGAGAAAGAGAGAGATCATCACAAAATTGCCACATTTGAAATCGAAACGCTGATCCAAACAATCAATTTGTCCAGTTCAGGGTGTTTTCAAAACTAGCTGTTTAGATATCTATGTGCATTAAGTCATAGGGAAAAAATAGTGAAAGAGAGTTCATAAAGCATTTATGTCAGTTGCCACACCATAAGGTCCCCCTGTTTCCGAAATGTGCACTTCGTGTGTTGGCACCCCATTTCTCAGGACTCAACTAAAAAGGAATTAAAACACCAAATTGGGACAGACATAACATCCTGCAAATGATATTATGTGTCCACGACAATTCCCTCTTTATCATTTTAAACAATAAAATACCAGCAGACAATTTTGATTGACATGGCTATACATTTATGCATACACAAATTAACTCAACTAACCCTCAATGACAACTGCTTATGGTTTGCCTCAATACATAAGTACATACATGTATACACTGAGATACAAGGAGAAATGCATAACATTTCTTAGAAATTGTCAATGCCATATAACCATATGACTAGCTCCAATCTTACTGTCAGGTAAGGTTTGCTTGTAATAAATTAAACGAACTAAAACGAAAAACTGAAGCTTAAGCCACAGATTCTGCAAACTTGGCAATTAGTATTCAAGAATGAACATGTCAACTGGGACTACAGATGCCCAATGGTGATGAGAAACAAGCTTACCTGGTCAAGAGTAAATAATTGCATGAATCTTTCATAGTATAATTTCCAATCTGGCTCAACTTCAACATTGGTGGGTGTAACTAAGTATACTAAATGCAAATCAGATGCAAGCACAAATCCTTCTCTAGCCCTTGAAAGGTCATCCAATACAATCTAGAAAAAAATTAAAATATATAAAATATAAAAATACATAATTAAAGTCAACAATTCCTTAATTCATCCATTCAAGATCAGTATGTTCAATAATGCATTGATACCAGAAGCACATGATATTAAAGAAAAGAAGAAAAAAAATGAAAAGAAAGAATGGAGGTGTAAATATATACAAGGGATTCTTCAAGGCAGAGAGAACTACCAAAAGATGCACGTCCAAGAGGTGTGGTGCTGTATAACTTAGTGTCTTCATTCCATTCAATAAATTTTCTGTGGCATAACCATTTGAGAGAATGCTGTCCTGACTTCACTACATCTTCAAATGGCTTCGTAGAATTGAGAAGAGTACACCTCACATATCGATGAATATCATTGGCAGTTTGAACAATTCCACCAGCGACAACTTCTAAGATTGCATGGGTCATCCCATTCGTATCTTCAGAAAGACAAGAATGTAGCGGTGTACAACTGTCATTAAGAATTCCCATAATTCTTTTGACGTCTTCTGGTTTGCAAAGTAGAACCTGGTTAGATGAAATCATAAAAATGATCAAAATCATAATTAAAGCTAGAATACTAATTTGTTTAAGAAAATCAATCTGCATTATTAAAGGTATCTTTGACCAAAACTTGCATCAACAACATAAAAACAAGGATATAACTATATGAGCAGAGGCAGATCCATCCCCACCACCAGTTCTGCCCACCAACCTAACACTGATCTCCTCAATCCTCTCTTCTTCCATAGCCCCCAAATTCTACAACCTCAGCAACAATCAATCAAGAAATGAACCCAAATGGAATCAATCAACTAACAGAGAATCTTCACATTGTCTTTATGTTGAGAATCAATAAGAATAACAATAATCTCTCAGTAGACATGGTTATTAAATTCTTATCTGCTCCAACATCAACTTACAGAGAATCTTCACATTGCCTTTATTTTGAGGTCATCTAACAAGTTTAAAAACCACACACAAAAAATGTGGATTATTGAGGACTTAGTGAATTTGCACTTGGGAATGTTGAAGGAAGCATTCCAACTCCTGAATTTTCCACTATACCATAATGTAGTTAGTTGAAAATCATCTCATTAGACACTGGATTACATACACACTAGCCAAAATAATTCAGTTTGTAGACCATGTGTTCTAGACATTTTTTAATGTGAAATATTTATTTCAAAATGCATTAGTATTGTTTTACAATATCATATTGTAAAACTAATAAACAAAATTTAAAGTAGTTCTACGGGTTGCAACAACTCCCAAGTTATGCACTTTGGCATTAATGTTCCCCATTAGACAAAGGCACCATTATAGTTTTTTTTTTTTAACTACTTTACATATTCTCCATTTTCAATTTCCTTATATTAATTTATCCACTTCAAATGTCATACCCCTCACAAGGAACATACACCAAGAAAAAACGTTCATTCCTTTGGCATACTTCCCTCCCAAGTTTTGTCTATATCATAACCTATCATCCCTACATCATCTTTCACTCTTACCAATTTACCTTGTTGCACTTAAAAATATCCAATCTTGAAGCCTTCAATTAATCCCAACAACCCCATATCTCACTATATGTTTGTATGAATGTCAATGGAGAGAACCACAAAAGATGTACATTTAGGTCATCCCGATTGCACAATTTGCACAAAATGGTTTTATTTCACCTTCCATGCCATTCAATCACATGTTACTCTAAACATTATTTTATAAGAAAAGTACATAGAAAGGAAGCCAAAGAAAAAACAGTTAAAGGAACAAAAACAAATTATTATCAAATTAATTGATGCTCTGTTTAAGAACATGGCTATTTGTTCACACGTTAAGGATCCAATCCAACCTTCCCCTTTCCTGTTACATGAAGTGGAACTAGGGAGAAGAATTTTCACCTGAACAACATAAACCATGGCATTAATTGTATAGAAACTCGGCCTGAGTCCATCAGTAGATACAGCACGTGCTTGTCAATATTCATGTCACCAATGAAATTAGACCAAATGGTCATATGCCAGTCAACAGATGCAAGTATTAGCATAATCAAGCACAACCTGGTAGTATATCTCTGCCCAGAACAAAACTAAGAGTGCATATGTTGTGAAGAACGCAAGGCTCGGCATATCAAGCAAGATATGTTGGAGAATCTGACAAACAGCATGGTAAACTACAAGTTAAAAAAATAAAAACTAAGACAGAAACAGGGAAAAGAAACATTAACAGATATTGCTCCAAACCTCTGGTTGCAACTTCTGAACATCCCGACGGCAAATAAAGACTATCGATCGAACTGTCACATTGTAAACAATCCACACTCAATACAAAGGTAGTAAACTAGGAGGAATAAATTTTTAACTTCATAGCATGAATTAAAGAAGGAATACAAAATACACACCCCCATTGACCACGAAATTGAGAAAATGGAAGACCTTTTGAGTCGTCCAACCATACTCTGGTACTCTCAATTGTATCTGAACCAATTGTACCTAATCATAATCAATTTCCGGAAAATTAAAAACCTTATTCATTGCCAAAAAAATTTTCAAACATTGATTCCAGTACTCATATTTATATTTACTTGCTCTAAAAGTACATAAAGATTATTTGACATTTCCATTTTTCACATAGGGGATAGGAAAATTCAGCCAATTAAACATTTTCTTCATTCCTAAAAATCAATATGAGCAAAAAATATAAGACTAGCTAACTCATTAAAACATAGAAAGACAACCAAAAGCTAATTATGGGTAACCAAAATTATGCTAATTATGCTAAAATTATGCTCAGTAACCAAAATTATGCTAATTATTGCCTACCAGACATCTTCCCACTTACAGAGGCTCAGCTAGGTATATCCAACAAAATGAAGAAACATAAACAAAATAACACGGTCTCAAAGTCTGAAGTTAACTAAGCTAATTAGGTTTTTTAATTAAAGTATGAGTTTTCCATATTTATCAAAACATAAACCTGGTTTATGTATTTATATGTTTCCTCATTTTTTCATCAATCAAATTTGAGTAAAACAAAATCCTAAACATTCAATTTGAAACCCTAGAAACCCTAATCGACATGAATCCACAATTCACGTTAAATTCATCTGAATACCGAAAAGAAAGCAATCATAACCAAAGTAAAGAACAATAATACTACAAAATCCTCAAGAAAACTCAGATTATATAGGTGAAATTAGATGGCGAATCAATAAATCCACATTACATCTATCACAACACAGGTTTGCTTTATGACCTCAATCCTCTCTTCTTCCACAGCCCCCAAATTCTACAACCACAGCAACAATCAATCAAGAAATGAACCCAAATGGAATCAATCCACCATGTGTCTGGCACAACCCACTAAACCCTTCACTTTCAGCAATATATATATATAGAGAGAGAGAGACCGAGGGCAAAGGCTAGAGAGGCAGAGAGCGAGAAACAGAGAGAGACAGACAGACAGACAGACCGAGAGTGAGAGAGAACCTGTGAGGATGCGGCGGCGGCAGTGGCGGTGGCGCTAGTAGTGGCGTATGACGCTGGTCAGCGATGAGGTGAGATTGGGTGAGGATCCC